CTTATTAATTAGTTCGGTGGTAAAAAAAAATTCTTGTTAAATTTCAAACCTTTTCTAGTGACTATTACTGAAATAAGAATTGCTGTGTTATCTGATGGGATAAAGGACAGTAGAATTGGCGTTTACAAAAAAAAAAAAAAAGTCATCGTATTATTGCAGTTTTTTTCATCGTTTACTTTTTATTTCTTCAATACTGTATGCAAAATTTTAGGTTTTAGAACGATTTCATGCGCTAAGCGAAGAACTTGGAAATTTAAATTTGCTGTTGGTATGTCCACACGGTTATATGGATGTACCGGGTGCAAACAACAAAATTCTTGACTATTATGTGGATATGAATCTGATTGAAACCACCATTGGTGTTGGTGCAATAAAGCAATTGAAAACATCAGAAGCAAATGCCGAACAAGTAATAAATTAATCAGCATATTTTTTTACCCTTCTTACATTTCCTATTTATTCTTCATTATTTCACATACCTAATATCTGTGTTCTTGAAAAAGCTTAAAATTTGTAGTCATAATAATACATTGGAAAGGAGGAAAAAAAGAAAGAAAGCTAAATTAATGAAACAATGATGTTTGGTCAACAAAAAGTATATCTGAAAGAAGATAAGCCAGAAAGAAATGCTTTCTTTTCTCAATTATACCATTTTTATTGTTCAAAAATAATTATAATTGTTTGCTGTAATAGTAAAAAATAACAGTTCGAGCAGAAAATATTGGAAAACGAAATACTAATTTTAACTTTTATGAAAAAAAAAAAAGCTTTTTTACTGATTAGTACTATTTTATTAGATTAACCTTTGAACAAAGTAAACATTTGCCAACGTTTTATTTTTTTTTTGAATTTTCAAGTTTTTTATTTTTTTTACGTTTTATATTATTAATATTCTGTTTGTTATCCGATTTTGTCTCCCACTCACTTTTTTTTGCCTTCAAACATTTATGTTTTTTAATATTACGAACAACTTTTTGCTTTTTCGTTACATTCGTCATTCTTCACCGTTCCCTCGTCGAAAATTCCGGTAAAAACAAAAAAAAAATTTATATAATTATGTCAGCATTTCTGAAATTTATTTTTCACAGTGATATTTGTTAAATAAATCAAGAAATGGTAGTTAGAAAGAAACAATTTTTTTTTGTTTTGAATTCAGATTGTACATACAGTTTTTTATGTAAAAGCAGCTGATAGTGATAGTTCAAAAAGAAAAAAAAAAGTAAAGAAAAAGCACAGTTTATTTGGAACTATTCAGATAGGAAAATAAAGACGTAAAAAAAAACAGTTTTTTTTTCAGTAGACATATACTTTCATAAAGGTAAAGAAATAAACGTTGTAGCACATTTGATACATTCTGCTAACTTGAAATTGGCTTTTTTTACATATTATTAACAAGATTTTTGGACAAAAATTAAAAGAAATTTTTATATGCAATAAAGAATAATACTGTTTTTTCTTTGTTTGTCATTTAATTAAAAGATTTGATCATTTTTGAAAATGTCAAAATTTGACTGCTAAAGAAAAACATTTACAGTGAGTTAGTGAGAATAAATGAATAGGTAAAAGAAGAGCATTCAGTAAGGTGATATACCGCCTTTGAGTATCTGAGATAAACCATAGCTTAGATTGATGCTTAGTTATTCACTTCAAAACTTTTCAATGCTGTTAAATGGAGAGAATATTTACATAAAACTTCTGCCTGTTTACTGTGCTGCAAAAATCATTTGTACATCTGAATAAAGTAGTATAATCAACATTCTGTAAAATTTAATTAAAACTATCGCACAAAAAAAGTTGAAATATTTTAGGTTTATATACAACTGCGGCATATTAGCCCAATACCGGGTGTTAAAATTTATCGAACAAGTAAAAATGCCGATGAAATTCCGGAATGGTATTTGTACCAAGAATCTGATGTTGTACCGCAGTTGGTATTAATTGCTACACCAGGCTATGCAATTTATACCGTAAATTCTTTTGCCTGTTTTTCTTCTGTTTTTTTTTTTATCTTTTACTAAACTATTTAATTGGCTTACTACTAAGTTGAATACAGTTAGAGGAAACTAAGCAAATACCAAGGCCATCAAATACGGAAACAAAAGCGGGTCTTAGCGGTTACAATAATGAATATCCAGAGATGCTTGGTCTTTTCTTAGCTCGTGGTCCAAGTAAGTGTTATTAAACTCCAAAACTATCATCTAAGAACAAATAAATTTTTTTGCACAAAAAGTTTTTGATATTACTAAGAAAAAAATCACTGGCAAAAAGTATAAATAACTTTTACCGTATTTTACTTTAATTTTTTGGTCAAAACATTGGTTTATTGTAACAGAAAGTTTAGCAATCGAGGAATTAGTCTTTTAAGACAACAAAGACAAAAAATAAGAGGGATAAAAAA